AGACATTACCGAAGTAAAAAGCAATCAGTCGAGCTTTATATGGAGCAACGGCAGTTTGTTTCTACTCTAATCGAAGACCATCGGATGCTGTAATATTTACGCTTTTTGAATTACTGCTGTTTCGGAGCTGCTGTTTTTTTCGTAATTTAGTACATGTTAGAATGCTCTAAGGTTTCTTAGAAATGATTCTGGAATTCTTTTAACAAATGCATTTTGTAGAGCAAACATATTTCTACAAAATTAGATGTTTTACAGCTCTGAGAGAACCGTGATAACTGATTTGTAGCAATTCTGCCGGATGCCCCTACACCAGTTAAAAACTGGTGCATGCCTACCCACAAACCAGCAACACAAAACAAAGAAGCAAAAGAGGAAAAGGAAAAATTGCGTCACCATACTTTCGTAAGATCAGCATCTCCTAAAAGTCTGGTTACGATCGGACGTATATAGTTTCAGAGATAGGTTTTTGATGGGGGCGGGGGCTTAAGAGAACTTAGTTTAAAAATTTTCTGTAAGATTCCAACGGCGCAGATCAACTGGACAATATGTAAAATCGTTTTCCCTATAAAACCCTCAACATGTTAGATCATAAGAGTGAGTAATTAATTGTCAATCTTTTTAGTAAATTGTCCTGGTTGATCAATACTTAGTTTTATCGATTTATCGAGTTATTAGCAACAATACACCTCAATAATTTAAAAGAACCAAGTGATTAAATAGGCGAAATATTTTATTTATTTAGGTATAATGATTAGCACAGAATTAGGATGGAGGGATTATATTTCAAGCCGAACCTGTCAAATTAGAAATGCATACGCGAGCCTGAAAATATTATGTCGCATAATACCTCTTGAACAAATTTCATTAAGATGTCGCTAATTTATTGTCTATGCCCTCTCCCATTTCATGTGGCTATTCGTAACATGATTTTATTGAGTGACCGCCAGAGAGACTATATTGAACATGTTCATTGCTCTGGATTACGCAAAATATATAATTTGAAGGAATGCGACTGCTATTTAATGATGGTCCTAAGTAGAGATTTTTCTATAAAAGATTATGTAAATAAATTCTACACCTATAACGATCTCCAGAAGCATAGGCATATCAACAAATATAGGATGTATTTCTGGTAGCAACATATCAAACAAGAGAGTGGTACCGTTCTTGTGGTATGTAATAACAGCATCTTTCAGAATGGACCGGCCCGGGGAGCGCAGCACACAAGAATTGATTGGTACACTTTTGAATCACAACAAAAATCAGAATATGGGTACTTTAGATGTTCAACAGCTCCTGTCTCGATCTTTCTCTATAAATTCTATATTCAACTTTCACAACTATCGTCTTTTCATTTTATATATTTCTTATATGTTCGAAATGTAAAATACATGTATAAGCACACTCTTTTTCTTTTTTTTATTACATTTTTGTACTTTTTCTCTTACTACACCGTAACTATATCTGTAATTTTGTTTATTTTAGCATGTTATTTATACAATATATTTTATTGTTTTTGAAAATGATTTTTAATTGGCTATTTTTGTGAGTGAGAGAAATTTGTGAAGAACTTTCTTAACTTCTTCTGGGTTAAAAAATATTTACTTTTTATAGACGTTAATTACTTATTGTGTCATTGTTAACTCTTATGGAACAATAAAATCTTTTTATATAGAAAATGCCTTAACAGACAATCTGACATTTTTCTGTCGAATGAACTAGAACGACCAAAAAATTTCAGTACTTATTTCGTATAGAAAATCCGGCTAAAACCTTAAAAGATCTCTTTTTCTTATTTTCTTATTTTTTTCACTTACTTTTCTTTGCTATTGTTGAATATATATTGGAATAACAATGGGGACAGATCTCTGGCCACTTTTAGCAAATTTGTTCTTGTACAAATCAGAATTTGAATTTTTTGGATAAAAATCAAGGAAGAAATTGCGGACTTTAGACTTGAGCGGGCTTTAAAGTCGGCCAGAGTCCACTCAAGTTGGTGGAATTTAGGAACTTCAAAAAAAACTGAGAGGACTTTAAAGTCCGCTCAAGTTCATAAAGTACGCAATTTCCTCCTTGATAAAAGTACACAAAAATTATATTCAACATGTTGATCATTAAACGACACCGGCCCCTACATCCATGATCTAATTACGTAAATTCTGATGATAAATTCAATATGCATCAGATATCTATATATCCATCGCAATTGACCTTGAATATAGAAAATGTGAGCGATCAAACCGCTACATTAGTGGCAGCGCCAAAGGTGGGCTGAGCCCACCCTAAAATATTTTGAGCCCATCCAGAAATTTTTTTCCTGGATTACGTTACTCGGGAGAACAGGTTGGATTTCTCCAAGTAATAATGGAATTTTATTGTTTTCTACTGTTCTACAACACTTGAAATTCGTGAAAAGACGGATGGTATGTTCCGAACATACCATCGGTCTTTTGTATCGAACATAATGTTCAATGTTCATTAGTTATTGTTTTACCATCCTATTACAATGGAGCAGAATTTATTATTAAACATAACAATCAAGAACATATATTTGATTATTCATCACCACAAAGTGAATGTGATTTTCATTAATTGATCTTTTATGCTGATTGTCAACATGAAATTTATCCAATAACAAATGGATATCATGTATCACTAGTTTATAATGTTGTTACTAGTAAACCAAAAGCAAGTTTTAGTACAATCTTCGACACTCAAATTATGGGCCGAGACCAGGTGGAACTCCTGGTGGCAAGCTACCGATGCTATTATCAATAATTATCCTGCCATCTTTAAAGCACTTGCTGATATTAGTGAAGAAGGTAGTGGTACACGATCAACTAATGCAGGTGGACTTTTAATGCATATGAAAAAGTCCATATTTATCATCACTTCATTTATTCTTCATCAATTATTTGGTTTAATAAAAGTTTTGAATGATCATTTGAAAAGTAAGATCTTTGTTTTTATTCTAGATCTGAAAAAGCTATTTATTGTCTTGCTTTCACAAGATCCAGCTTTAGATTATGTACGTGGTGAACATCTTGTAATATCGATTATTCAGCAAATAACCAATCTTCGTAATGAACAATCATTCAATCAAATTTATGATAAAGCAAAAAAATTTTGTGATGGAATTGATTTGGTACAGCAATGTCAACTACATCGTAAAATAAAAATTTCAGCTAGATCTAATGATTGTTTTATTAATTCAACACTTGGACAACGTCCAAAGTTGTCTACATCAACACATTTTATGAATCAGATTTATTTTCCTTTAATTGATTGTATGTTAGTGGAACCAAATGACAGATTTTCATCCAAACCTTTATCATTTATGAACAGTATTGCTACAATTTATCCAGAAAGTAAAATTTTTTTGAATATTGATGATGTTGATGAATTCAGTCGTCATATTGGTGCTGATTCAAGCGCTTTAAAAAATGAATTTACTGTTATCAAATCTATGCTCATGCCTAAAACAATCATTGATGTTATTCAATTTTTGAACGAATTAGTTCGATTCTCAACTGCATTTCCACAAACATTACGAATGATCAAAAGTGGCATAACAATGCCGATTTCACAAGTAACTTGTGAAAGATCGTTCTCGAAGATGAAGATAATCAAGAACTATCTTCGCAATTCCATGTATGACAAACGCTTAAGCGACTTGACGGTCTTGGCTGTTGAACGTGATATTGCTATAAATTATGAGCGAGTAGTAGATAAATTTTCACAAAATTACAAGAACAGCAGGATTTTATTGTGTTAAGTTATCTTACTATATGTTTTTAAAACAAATAGTCAAGCTCACTATTCATTGATGTGAATTATTTATTTAGTATAGAACAAGAAACATTTATGATGAATCCAAAAATTGGAGAAGATTTAAACTACATTTATTCGTCCTTCAAAATTCAGTGAGACCGAACCCACTCTGGTCAAAATTCAGGAGGCCTGAGCTTACCTTAGTCTAAATTCCTGGCGCCGCCGCTACACTACATTTCTGGATTTTGCAATGGCCATCTTTAATGGTGTAATACAAATTAAACTGTACGATAAAAGAATAAAATTCGGTTTCAAAATTGTAAATTATCCAGATTTTAATGGAAAGTGATAGGTTATAGTTTAGCGATAGCACAAATGCTTCGGCTGTCAAAAACATGTATGGATTATAACACTTTTGGAAAAACTGTTATGGACATGAACGAATATGTTTCAATAGGTTCTTCTAAGAACAGGAAAAAAAATTGAGATTTGTATTAAACAAGTTCAAATTTTTCTACGTAAGTCCGAGGTAGATGTCATTAACAAGGACAGAAGTATTCCTAGACTATTCCTAGAAATATTCAAAATGGAGGTTTACACATGTTAAACGAAGCGATGGAGAGAACACAATCCCAACAAAAATTTCTTCATGCCATCCTAACACTATAAAAAAAAAACGATGCGGTGGAAGATTCAATGAAAGGATTTCGACCATGGTAGTTAATGAACATCGATTATAAAATTTTGTCTAAAGTACTGCGAGTCAGAGATTAAGGAAAGTCATCGCCTCAAGCGTCCACTATGACCAGTCTTGCTCAATTCCACAGAGAAACATTTGTGACAATGTACATTTGATTAGATCTATCATCGACCATTATTCAAGAAATAAAGACCCTATCGGTCTCATTCTTTGGGACCAAGAAAAAGTCTTTGACCGGGTAAACCATCAATATTTATTTGCAGTTTTAAACATATTTGGCTTTGGTAAAAATTCCGTTAACTGGGTTAAGTTATTGTACACGAATGCTACTTTTAGAATTAAGATCAATCAATCAATTACAAAACCCATCAAATTTGATTGTGGGGTAAGACAAGGATGTTCACTACCTGGTGACATTTATGTCATTGGTCTAGAACCATAACTCCACCGAATAAGAATGAATCCGCGAATACCGGATTGCACCACTCGGAGCGCAGTATCAAACGCTAAGGCGAATGGTATCCCCCCGAGATGATACAGAGCCATCTATTAAAGCAATTGCATACGCCGATGACGTAAATACAATCGTCTTTAGCGCTGAAGAAGAACAGGAAACAATTAATATGTTCGACCTGTATAACAAAGCGTCGGGAGGCAAAATAAACGTTGACAAGACAGAAGTCTTTTGGATAAGTAAATGGATACGACCGCCATCATTCCAAGGGAGGATCTGTAAAGAAAAGTCTAAAATAAACTTCAAAAAACATAGCTCTGCAATAGTGTCTTACCTCTGGAAAAAATTTTAACTCGATCGAAGTTCTAGCTGCATCTTCGATGAAATTTTTTATGCTGAATTCAAATACGAAATTTATTTTTCATATCCGTGAACTTTTCTGGTGTTTTGAAAAGTTCCTGCATCACTACATCTTTTGTATTTTCTTCTCCTCTTTGGAAAAAAGAGTTTGCCGTATGCTTTAAATGTTGTTAGGTCTACGAAATCGGAATCTCCTAAAAAGGAGCAGACTGCTTTGAGACATGCCTTCATTAGGAGCTAGGGCGCCACAGTTACAATTAATAGTCAGCTGGTCAGTGGTCACTGCTAATTCGAATGGACAACTCATTTGTTACATTCTTATGGACCCAATGCTTTTATAATGATTTACTATTGGAAGGAATAAAATCCAGTGATATCCACGATACATACATCCTTCACCCGCGTGCATGGAATCAATCCCGCATATCACTCAGTTTGCCTGCTGAGATACTATTCGAAGATGAAACAGGTAGAGAAAATCCAAACTGGACTGAATCAGCCGATAAATCAGACTGGATGAAAACCGTTCTAAATTAGCGTAAAACCGACAAAACTACAGAACAAGCAAAAAATTTGCTGTGATCAGTTAACTTTATTTTCCATGCGGATAATGCGCGTTAAATTCAAGCGAACAGCGCCTAACAAAGCATTTGCTTGCGTCTATTCTCCGGATGAGACTCGCATTGCCTTATCATCAGAACTTTTCAATGAGCGCGAAAGTGTGCTCAAAGTCAGAGCTACAAGTGAGCGGACGAGAAATCGAATTTCGTTCTCTTTTTGTGCGTAGAGACACACGTAGCTCTCTTCGCACGATTGCATGATAAAGAAACATGACTGGTTTCAGGTCTACTTCGAACTATAGAAGTACCCGATGATGACTCACAACAGTGCTCTTTGCATTTGTCCGTACATACTGACGTATACTAACCAGAAGTGCTGGGTGCGCGTTATGACTATATCTTATCTGGCTCTTGTTAATATCTTGTACAACAAATAAAACTTGCTTTAATTGCTTTATAAGATCGAACGAAAGCGGAAAGCCGAGAAAAATTTCAAAATTTAAGCCACTAAAAATAGATAAATCCGTAGCGGGTCGAGCCCAACTGTGAGGTATCCCGATTCACTTCATCCGAAGAAAAAGGCTTTAAAAATTTCTGAGCACAGCTGAAGTTTTTGGAGATCTGAAAGCGGAAATTTGCGGGTTAGAACGACGATTTCTCTTTCAAATGAAAGTGAGATCTATTCACACGTGAAAAGACCAAGGCGTTATCCAACAAGTCTGTTTCTCCAATTTTTATAGTGAAAATGACCAGTTTATTAATTTTATTGGCTAATTACTTATGATATACTTAACCCTTTCAGGACCGGGTTAATTTTTATATAAAAAGTGCTGTTCAAAAGTTGAAGACCTTTTTTATTTTGCAATATCTCGGCTTCCCTGACAGATAGAGACTTCATCCTTTTGTCAAAAGAA